AATACTACTATTACTAAAGATATTTCTGAGCATAGAAAAGGATGGAATACTCCCAAACTCATTCTATGAAGCCAGCATAACCCTGATACCAAAACCAGGCAAAGACACCACAAAAAAAAAAAAAAGAAAATTACAGACCAATATCCCTCATGAACGTAGACGCAAAAATCCTCAACAAAATTCTAGCCAATAGAATTCAACAACATATCAAAAAAATTATTCATCATGACCAAGTGGGATTCATACCAGGTATGCAGGGAAGGTTCAACATTAGAAAAACAATCAACATAATCCATCACATAAATAAAACAGAAGACAAGAACCACATGATCTTATCAATCGATGCAGAAAAGGCATTTGACAAAGTCCAACACCCATTCGTGACAAAAATTCTCAGCGAAATAGGAATAGAAGGGAAACTCCTCAACATAATAAAGGCCATTTATACAAGGCCAATGACCAACATCATCCTAAATGGAGAGAGTCTAAAAGCATTCCCTTTGAGAACAGGAACCAGACCAGGATGCCCTTTATCACTACTCTTATTCAAGACTGTACTGGAGATCCTAGCCAGAGCAATTAGGGTAGAAAAGGAAATAAAGGGCATCCAAATTGGTAAGCAAGAAATAAAAGTATCTCAATTTGCAGATAATATGATCTTATACACAGAAAACCTTAAAGAATCCACCAGAAAACTACTGGAATTAATAGAGACTTCAGGAAAGTATCAAGATACAAGATAAGCATACAAAAAAATCACTTGAATTCGTCTACACCAGTAAAGAGAAATTCGAAGAGGAAATCACCAAATCAGTACCATTTACAATAGCCCCCAAGAAGATAAAATACTTAGGAATAAATCTAACCAGAGGTGTAAAAGACCTATACAAAGAAAACTACAAGACACTACTGCAAGAAACCAAAAAAGACCTACATAAGTGGAAAAACGTATCTTGCTCATGGATAGGAAGACTCAACATTGTGAAAATGTCTATTCTACTCAAAGCAATCTACAGGTACAATGCGATCTCAATCCAAATTCCAATGGCATTTGTCATTGAAATGAAGAAACAAAACATCAACTTCATATGGAAAGGGAAAAGGCCCCAGATAAGTAAAGCATTACTCAACAAGAAGAACAAAGTGGAAGGCCTCACACTATCTGATTTCAGAAGCTATTATACTGCCATGGTAGTCAAATCAGCCTGGTACTGGTACAACAACAGATACATAGACCAATGGAACAGAATTGAGAAGCCAGACATAAATTCATCCACCCATGAGCAGCTGATATTTGACAAAGGCCCAAAGTCCGTTAATTGGGGAAAAGACAGTCCCTTTAACAAATTGTGCTGGCATAACCGGCTATCTATCTGCAAAAAACTGAAACAAGACCCATACCTCGCATCATGCACAAAAACTAACTCAAAATGGATCAAAGACCTAAATATAAACTCTAAAACGATAAAGATCATGGAAGAAAAAATATGGACAATGCTAGGAGCCCTAATACATGGCATAAACAGAATACTAAGTATTACTAACAATGCACAAGCACCAGAAGAGAGACTAGATAACTGGGAGCTCCTAAAAATCAAACACTTATGCTCATCAAAAACTTCACCAAAAGAATCAAAAGACAACCTACAGACTAGGAAAAAAATTTTGGCTATGACAACTCTGATCCACGCCTAATGTCTAAAATCTACAAGATACTGCAAAAGTTCAACAACAAAAAGACAAACAACCCAATTAAAAAATGGGCAAAGGATATGAACAGGCACTTCACTGAAGAAGGCATTCAGGCAGCTAACAGACACATGAAGAAATGCTCACAATCATTGGCCATTAGAGAAATGCACATCAGAACTACAGAGATATCATTTCACTCCAGCAAGGTTAGCATTAATCCAAAAAACACAAAATAATAAATGTTGGAGAGGTTGTGGAGAGACTGGAACACTTATACTCTGTTGGTGAGAATGTAAAATGGTACGACCACCTTGGAAATCGATTTGGCACTTCCTTAAAAAGCTGGAAATAGAAGTACGATAAGATCCAGCTATCCCACTCCTTGGAATATATCTTAGAGAAATAAGAGCTGTCACACGAATAGATATATGCACACGCATGTTCACTGCAGCACTGTTCACAATGGCAAATATATGGAAACAACCTAGGTGCCCATCAACAGATGAATAAACAAATTATGGTAAATCCACACAATGGAATACTACTCAACAATAAAGAACAACAATGTATCCTGGAAACATAACATGAATGAATCTGGAAGGCATTATGCTAAGTCAAATCAGTCAGTTGCAAAAGGACAAATATTGCAATATTGTATGAGACCACTATTATAAGAACTCAAGGAAAGGTTTTAACACAGAAAAAAACAGTTTTTGATGGTTACAAGGGTGTGGAGGGAGGGAGAGGGGTATTCACTAACTAGATAGTAGATAAGAATCATAGGTGAAGGGAAGGACAACACACAATACAAGGAAATTCAGTACAACCAAAAGCTAAGAAGTTTCCTGAATACAACCAAACACTTTGAGGGACAGAGTAGCAGGGGCAGGGGTCTGGAGACCATGGTTTCAGGGCACATTTAGGTCAACTGGCATGACAAAGTTTATTAAGAAAATGTTCTGCATCACATTTTGGTGAGTGGCATATGGGGTCTTAAAGGCCAGCAAGCGGCCATCTAAGATGCATCAATTGGTCCCAACCCACCTGGAGCAAAGGAGAATGAAGAACACCAAAGACACAAGGAAAATATTAGCCCAAGAGACAGAAAGGTCCACATAAACCAGAGATTCCATCAGCCTGAGTCCAGAACGAGGTGGTGCCTGGCTACCACCAATGACCACCTCGACAGGGAATACAACGGAGAGTCCCTGACAGAGCAGGAGAAAAATAGGGAAGCGAATTCAAATTCTAGTAAAAAGACCAGACTTAATGGTCTGAGACTGGAGGGACCTTGGCAGAAATGGCCCCCAGATCCTCTGTTAGCCCAGAACTGAAACCACTCCCGAAGCCAACTCTTCAGACAAAGATTAGACTGGACTATGGGACATAAAACGATACTTGTGAAGAGAGTGCTTCTTAGCTCAAGTAGATACATGAGACCAAACGGGCAGCTCCTGTCCAGAGGCAAGATGAGAAGGCAGAGAGGGTCAGGAACTGGTTGAATGGAAACGGGAAATCCAGGGTAGAAAGCTGGAATGTGCTGTCACACTATAGGGACAGCAATTAGGGTCACATAGTAATCTGTGTATAAATTTTTGTATGGGAAACTAAATTGAACTGTAAACTTTCACTTAAAGCACAATAAAAAAAGAAAAGAAAAAAAATACATATTCCCCGCTCCTCTAGAGGGACTGCTGTTAAAACTGAGTGTATTTCCTTCTGGATATTTTCCTGTGTGTATATGTGTGTGTTTTCAGAAAATTACTCCCTTCCGACTGGAAAAGATCATAATGTCTCTTTGAGTAGCTAAGCAAGCCAGATGGCACCATTTTTTCTTGAGTTAGGAAAGCATAATGTGAATAGTTAGGTGGCATCCTGAGCTCACACGGCAAGACGACAAAGGGCACTGCAACTGAAGTAGTCTTGATGATTTACTCTACGGCAGCTGGAAAAAATACAGTCCTCCACCGTCGGCGACAGAAGAGAGTTCTAATTCTAGCTATCCAGAGGACTGGAGCAGTTAGTATAAAACTGAGCAGTGGCTGGCAACAGGTGTGGGAACAGACTGAACTTTTTACCCAAGCATTTCCGCATCTTTGGGTCCTTTCCTAAATTATTAAATAATTTTTAAAAGGTAAAACTACATTTTTTTTTTATTTCGCTGCTTTATTAAATTTAAAAAAAAAAAAGTCTGTAGCCCTTTCCGTTAGCCAGGGCTGCTGAGCTTCACAGACCCTCCCCAGAGCGAGGACTACTCACAGCCAGAAGCTGCAGCTTTCCGGGCTTCTCGAGTGACTGGAAAGGCTCAAACGTGCACCTGTGGCACACTGCTCCTGGACCCACCGCCCACCAAGTCTGGGGGCCGCCAGTGGACACTGCGCGGGGGATGAGGGGGTGGGGAGAGGGCACTGACCCCGAGGGCGTCCGCGCTGCACACGGGGTTGGGGGGCATAAAGAAGGGGCGGACAGCCCGGGGTATGGAGGGTGCGCAGGAGGGCAGAGGTGGGGCGGCCGGGGAGCGCAGTGGGGAGCGGGCAGGAGTCGGAGGGTGCACGGGGGGGTGCAGGGGTGACAGGCCGGGGTACGGAGTGGGTACAGAGGGACAGAGAGGAGGCAGCTGAGGAGCACAGTGCGGGGCGGGCCGGGGGGTCGGAGGGAGATGCTTGAGGCGCAGTGCGGCGGCGGGGCGATCCTGCGGGCTCAGGGGAGGCGCAGGGGGATAGAAGGGGGGCGCAGGGGAGAAGCGGGGGGCGGAGGGGGTGGCGCGCCCAGTGCCCTACCTGTTCCCGACGAGGCCCACGCGCGGTGGGCCCAGGGTGCAGCCCCGAAAGCCAACCTCGTTCCTGCCGGGCCGCTCACACCTGCCTGCGGGCGCCAGATGCGTGCGGGGAGCAGGAGACGGGTAGGGGTCTGACCTGCGGGCCAGCCGGGCGCCGACCGCGGCCCTGGACCCTGACCTCTGACCCCCGACCTGGACCCCGATCCCGGACCTTCAACCCCCAACCTGGCCCACGACCCTCGACCTGGCCCCGCCCTCCGACCCCTGACCCTGACCTCCGGACCTCGACCCTCGACACAGGAGCCTGACCCCTGCCTGTGCCCCGGCGACCAACCCTCGGCGCTCGACCTGGGACCCGGGGCAGACACCGGTCTCCTGCGACTCCGCCCCTCCGCTGCGTCTCCCGAGTTACGGGCCCCGCCCCCGCCAGGCGCTCACGCCCACCTATCTCGTCGCGAGAGCCGGGAAGCCAGGCCCCGCCCCCACCCCTTCGCTTCTCGCGAGAACTGGGCAACCACCCCAGTTCCGTTCCCCCGTGGACTCGTGACGCGGTCCTGCTGCTCCCACCGCGGATCGGTGCCCGCGCGGAATGACAGTGAGTCTAGGACAGCGACGCCCCGGGGTGGAGGGAGGCCCCGAGCCCCTACTCCGCCCCGACTGAACTTCGCCTCCGTGGCTGCGCTCGGCCTAGGAGCTGGGGGACCGAGGGCGAGGGTCGCCGTTTTGGTGACGGGGGCGGGGAACCAGCCTCCACTGCGTACACCCCCTCCACTCCTGCCCCGGATTCCCTCTCCTTTTCCGCGCACGCCCCCTTCCGGCAGGCCGTATCCCCTCCTCCCGTGCACGCCCCTTCCTAATCTTAGCCCTTCTGCTCAGTTCTCTCCTATTCCCGATCCCCTCCTCACGCCCCCTCCCCGCAGGCCCGCTCCCTCCTCCGGGGCGCGCCCCCTCCTACTCACGGCCCCTCTCACACACACCCCTCACGCCCCCTCCCCGCAGGCCCGATCCCTCCTCCCGTGCGCGCCCCCTCCTACTCACGGCCCCTCTCACACACCCCCCTCACGCCCCCTCCCCGCAGGCCCGATCCCTCCTCCCGTGCGCGCCCCCTCCTACTCACGGCCCCTCTCACACACCCCCCTCACGCCCCCTCCCCGCAGGCCCGATCCCTCCTCCCGTGCGCGCCCCCTCCTACTCACGGCCCCTCTCACACACCCCCCTCACGCCCCCTCCCCGCAGGCCCGATCCCTCCTCCCGTGCGCGCCCCCTCCTACTCACGGCCCCTCTCACACACCCCCCTCACGCCCCCTCCCCGCAGGCCCGATCCCTCCTCCCGTGCGCTCTCCCTCCTACTCACGCCCCCTCTCACACACCCCCCTCACGCCCCCTCCCCGCAGACCCGATCCCTCCTCCTGTGCGCGCCCTCCTACTCACGGCCCCTCTCACCCACCTCACGCCCCCTCCCCGCAGGCCCGATCCTTCCTCCCGTGCGCGCCCCCTCCTACTCACGCCCCCTCCCCGCAGGCCCGATCCTTCCTCCCGTGCGCGCCCCCTCCTACTCGTAACTCCTCCTCCCTGCTCACACCTCCTCGCCGCGTGTCCTATCCTCGCCTCACGCGCCCTCCGTCCTCACAACCCCTTTCGCTCACGCCCCCTCCGGAGCCGCGTGTCCTTTTCTCTCCTCCCTTGTACGTTCCAGCTCCTGCTTACACCCCGCTCTCCCGCCCCTCCCCTCTCCGCACGTCGTATCCCCTCCTACTCATACTCCCTCAGTACCCCGCTCACGCCCCCTTCTGTCTCTCCCGCCTACGGCCTCCCCACAGGCCCTGTTCCTGCCGCGCGGGCCCCACCTCCCCGTCGCCAGCCCCGTCCGTCCTTCAGCTCCCCAAGCACAGTGTTGTCGCCTGCTGTTTATCCGCAGGCCGCCCGCCCATGAGGACGCCGTGTGACCCCGCATCCACCACCCACCATGGCGGCGCGCTGGGGGCGGGCGCTGCTGCTGCTCCTGGCGGCCCAGGCCGTGTCCGCCGCGCTGGGCGCTGAAGACGACGAGGTCCCGGAGGAGTGGCTCCTGCTGCACGTGGTGCAGGGCCAGATCGGCGCCGGCAACTACAGCTACCTGCGCCTGAACCACGAGGGCAAGATCGTGCTCCGGATGCGCAGCCTGCGCGGCGACGCCGACCTGTACGTGTCCGACAGCACCCTGCACCCCAGCTTCGACGACTATGAGCTGCAGTCGGCCACTTGTGGCCCGGACTCCGTGTCCGTCCCCGCGCATTTCCAGCGCCCCGTGGGCATCGGCATCTATGGGCACCCGTCGCACCTGGAGAGCGAGTTCGAGATGAAGGTGTACTACGACCAGACGGTGGAGCCGCACCCGTTCGTCGAGAGCGCCTACTCCCCGGAGGGCGCAGACCCTGGCCAGCGGCGCGCCCAGGCCCCCGAGGACGCGTCCCAGGAGGAGGAGTCCGTTCTCTGGACAATACTAATTAGCATTCTGAAGCTGGTACTCGAAATCCTTTTCTGATTCGTCGGGCACCTTCCGGGGTACAGTACCGGTAACCTGTGAAGTGGATTGCAGTTGCTGTGAGCCTTGCTACTTTGATCTGTTTCAAATTTGGTTGCTTTTTCTAGCGGGGGATGGAAAAGTGAAGCCATACAGTTGTTACCTCAGTTACCCAAAAGGAGCAGCAGCAGGCAAGGTATGTTTTCTTTGGAAGATCAAAATTCATATCAATGGAATATGCACAATAAAATGTTTAAATTCCATTTTGAATATTTGTCAGGTGACTAAAAGGATCATTGCAGCAATGTAGGTGTATATAAAAAATCAAAGTAGCAACCTTTTGTGCAGTTACACAGATAAGATTTAAAGACTGTTAACTTACCATTTTATTCTAGTTAAAGACTCCAAATGAAGTTACAATGTAAGCTCTCGGGAGCTGCTAAAATCAGGTCTGAAACTTAAGGAAGCTCATGTATTTGCTCTTCCCCTGGGCACTGACTTAAGCCCAGCTGTTTTCTGTTCAAGTAGCATGGCCCAGCAGGCAGGTGTGAACAGGGTTTGTTCCTGGGCCACAGCCAGTTAATTCTAAATCCAGCTGCGCCACATTTTATTAGGCCATCTGTAATTGCATCATCTTGGGCTGCCTAATTAAAATTCTTGGTTACTAAGTAACACCATTCTGTTAGCTATGGTAGGCCAGAAACAATTTACAGAATAGCCAACTGTCACCGACATGACAGTAACTTTTCAAGCTAGTGAAGGAGTAGTTAAGTATTTAAAATTAAATTGCTAAATATTTCCACTGGATTTTTGCAGATAGAGTTCTAAGAAGATTCTAGAAGATGAGTTGTTTCTCTACCTGGAATTAGTTTCAAGGGTAAGAGCAGCTGTAACAGAAATAAATCAACTTGTAGATTTTAAGCACAGAGTTAATTTCAAAAAATGTTTTATTGGCATAAAAATGAGAATATTGTAAATACATTGGCACCAAACATGTCACTTAAATGCATATTACAATGTTGGGGTCAAAAAACCATTTTATCCCTCTTTGCTGTTTTTCCCCCTTCTGCCCACTTTCCTGGGCGTTGGCGGAGCTCGCTGACAGCAGTCACAAATCCAGCGACCTAGGAGAAAAACTGTTAGTTAATGCAAGTTTACTTTTACATGACTGAATTTTAAATCCATTGAAGCTCTCATTCCTTAGCTATCACTCATGATACTCCCCTGTGGATCTGAGGTGGGAGGGGGCACTCTTGAGCTCTTTAAGGAGAAAACTGTGAACTTTCCTAAAGTAATCAACGCTAGACCGCAGTCAACGGGGCAGGCGCAGTGCTATACAGTACATCGATGCGGCCTTGAAAAATTATTACAGGCAGTCCCTGACTTACAGCTTATTAGGGTTATCACGTATCACACTTAAAGCTGTCTGGTTTTTTTTTGTACATTTTATCGTTAATATGTACTACATACAATGTTGCAGCGCGTAATTTGCGGGTTTTCTCATTCTCAGATGTAATGCTTCCAACCCCCAAAAACAAAGATCAGATTTATAAAGATACTGATAATAAAAGGCAATAATAATGGGGGGAAAAAAATGAGGTTATTTGACAACGTCAGAACTGACTTAGGACAGAGTCATCGGAACAGAGCCCTGTTGTAAGTGGGGGACCACCTGTGTAATCCCTTCTGAAATTGAAACACTAGCATACTTAGAAAGCTCAGTAGCAAATCTTAATTGACCTGTTACTGAATCTGGCTCATTTTCCACCTTTTTCTCTTTGCCACTCACCTGCAGCTGTGTGTCTAACAGCATTCCCCAAGGTCCTGGTGTATTATACTGACAGCACTTTAAAACATATCAAGTATTTGATAGCACACTGATGCATCGTACTTCATACTTGATCTGACTTACTACAGAACTTTAAATAATTATTTAAGTTGCTTAGCTTCTTAATGATTCCTGAGATACTTAGTTTCAGGTGTATATGTTATAGAGTACTACACAGTGTTATCTATGCAAATAAGTTCTAAAATTACACAAGTATCTGTGTAATGTTTTATTCTAATTGCTGTGATTTGTTCCTTGATTCTGTGTTCATCCTAAAGTAACCTGGAATTGTCATGCTGCCTGTAACAGAAATCTGGTTTGACATGTATAAAGACATCAGTCATTTTGTTAAGTTTCTAAGTAGATGACGTATAAAAATAAAATCAAGGCTTTGAAACAAACTGACATTGTTACTTTAGCTACTTCAAAGAAAAACATGGTCTCGTACTATACACTGAGCTGTACTTCTACAACTTTTGGAATAAGCATTCTGGTATCTTCCTTGTTCTTTAAGTTGCGATGTCTAGGAATGAAAGACGGGAGTGTGATCTGTATAATCACAGCTCTGGTCACTTACTGCAGACAGAAGGGTCTCCAGCTCTTCATGTATTACAGCGTTTATGCCTTCAAAGAGAAGAGCTACCAGAGTCCCACCCCAAAAAACAATGTTCTTTCTTTCTTTAATCTTTACCTGATGGAATAGCACCAAGGCCCACACAAAAAGTATGGTAACCTCTGTCACACACATCACAGAACATCATTTCTTCTTCATGGTGAGGCTGTCCACACATAATGCATGTTTTACATTCCATACACTGCCATGGGTAGGTCTTAATCATAGACAGAAGCTCCATGGTCATATCCAGGCAAGAAGGATGGCCTAAATCAAAACCAGTGTTAGTAGCATTCCACACAAGAATTTTTAACTTAATAAGGCTTAATAAAATATTAGTTCAAGACTTCCCAAGAATGGTTATAATATACGTTTACCAGCCAAAGAGAAATGGAAATACAATGAGGAAGAAAACACACTTTCTATGCCTTCCAAGTTACCCTGCATATTTGATGATTCTGTGTTTGAAGTATAGCCGACAACTAAAGTCCTAGTTTTTGAAGCCACAAGCAGAGTGATTAAAGCGTTGAGAAGACATGTCAGTACTCACCACTGTTGCCACACTGGGAGCAGTGTATAAGTGATTCAGCCTTTCCTTTCTTGTTGGACTCCTTACCCTTCAGACAAATTCCACATAGAGCATTTGGAATGACCTTTGGCTGGAAGGGTAGAAGAGGGCTATAAATTCATGCCAGAAGAACTTACTATGGGTTCAAAAGGAAATGTTATTGTATTGCCTTATTTTTACTTCTGGTAACTTGCTAATGAAGACCTTTCTGAATGACAAACGTGACCTGAAGACGCTTAGGACGTGAGATGGCCTACTGACTAAAGCCTTCAATTCCACTTCAAAAAGTTAGGTCAAGGGCGTGATCCCCCATTAAGGTTCAATGTTCCATTCTACACACCTATATGCACACTAAGCTTTGTGCAATGAGCTGGGACGACAGAATAAGCACAAGGTCAAATTTCACTATTAACTGGGACAAAATGCAAGCCCCAAATGACCACTACATGAAAATGTCTTAGAGAAAACTAAGCTTCAAGCAGCTTACGCACTGATTTTAAAAACTGTTATTTTCCAAAGTTGTAAAACTAGATCTCTAAAGTATATCTTACAAAGTCAAGGTTCAGCATTTTCAGTTGGAAGATTTGCATACATTGTCATGTGCGTGTTTACTGAAGACTGAGCTGTGCGATTATTCCCTTGGCGTATCTAACAAAAGAGCTTAAGGGAAAAACATTCACTCTGAGATGTAAAACATTATAAAAAGCGAAAAATAGGCTCTGAGACAAGCAAAACAAAATTGTAGTCAATTAAAAAAAAAAAGACACCTTAATATGAGCACTGCTTACGTTTCAGATTACAAAGAGAAGGCACAGCCCAGGGAAGGTGTCTGGGTCCCTGACAACACTGGGAGGAGAAGGGGAGGATGCTGGGCCCCTCAGCCCGACCACTGGACGAGGGCGCCCATTCACACTCACCAGCACCTACCAATGAAACAGGAGTGTAAAAGGGAGCAGGTGTGCACCAAGAGTGGAGGGGGGTAGGGAGCACATATATATGTATCAAACAAAAATCGTTTTAAATAAAATTGTTTTATTGCTGTTTTATTCCAACCCAGCCAAGTGCATCTTACATTTCCCTCTTCTAAGTCACAGAAGCAAAGAGGAGTCTACACACAACTAACTTTTCATATCACATTCCAGCTCTGAAATGTCTCAACTGCCGCCTTCATAACCTGTCAGGCCTAAACAATTTGTTCTTAATTCTTTAAGCTTTATTCTTTAAGTTTTCTTTCTTTGCAAAAGATGACAGAGGCATTCAAAAATAATTTTTGGCTTATTTATTTAAAAAAAAATCAACCTTATACATAAATATAATAAAAACAGTAACTCTAAACAATCACAAACGTCTCTACAAAGTAATAAATATCATGGAAGTTAAAGCATACATAGAAAACTTGACTGTTGACTCTCCTACGTCTCCTATATGTGCATCTTCACACCCTGCTCCCCCCACAAAGGATCGCATCACCCGCTCAAACCTCAGCCTTGCGGTGTAGCTACCCTCTGCCGTTTCTGCTGCGTTCTGCATGTATGGTTCTCCTCGTGTACCTAAGTAAAAAGCAGCTATGAAGTGCACCTCTATGATCCAGATTCTGCTCCGTTATGATCAAGTCTGTAACCACCACAGCACACAGCAGAAAGCCACGTCTCCACCCACCAAAACTGACAAATGTCTTTTGGGTATGGTACCTATGCTAAATGTAGATGTACTTATTTAATACTTGTAGTTTAAGTTAGACACTGGCAGAGTAAGTACTCTAACATCATCCACCAGACTCAGGGAAGTAACCGCACAACATGGAATTCTAAAAAGAGAACTCCTCATAGGAGATCTTTTACAAAACAAAAGGCAAAAAGAACAAACCACAAGGCTAGTCATTCACATTCTAGAGCAATTCCAGTGCTACAATCATTAAAGTATACATTAAACACCTACGGTAAAGGGATACCAAGAAAATTCCACGTTTACTTCTAAGCTTAAAATCATAATGCTTTGTTAAACCACTTAAAATTCCTCTTACCCAACAGTCTTCATCTTGGTGGAAGGAGGGAGAGACGGGTGGAAAAGGGAGAGAGAGACAGGCTTTGCTTGCTATGGTGCCGCTGAGGCTCACTGCGGGCAGACACTTCCTCCAGCCTCTGAGCTGGAGAAGCAGGCTGCTGGCCTGCCTGCGGGGCTTTAACAGCACCAGTAAGTCTCTCAGGCGCTGGAGAGTCAGGGAGGAAGAACAACAGTGTGCACAACTCCTCTCAAGGTAACACAACAGAGCCCTATGTGCCCAACTTCCCATCATCGCAAGGTTTCACTACTGACAGGAAAATTAAAACGCTCATCCTAACAGTTCTCAGCATCGCAAATGAAAGGCTCACAAAAAGCCCTTCTCCACACACTTTCCTGTTCGAAAAACAGCCAACGGTAAGTGAGACATTCGTGGTGGCACTAATACAGATAGATTTGAATTACATGCATGTAGCCTGAACCTAACAGCTTTAATTCCAGGTTAATGTAACCTAAATAATACTCTGCTACGAATAAGGGCAAGCACTACTGAATCTCATTATGCAAGACATCAAGCACATTATCATTTTTCTTAACCCCCATCTTTTAAAGTACATATACATACAGGACCTTCAGCTTGAAGTACCCTAATATTCAGGCACATCTTGGCTTATTAATACTTTTCAAAGAGAGGTTCACTTTTAATAAACGTTTACATTAATCTATTAAGTCGAGACACTGACTTCCAATCTTTGCAACATTTTTAGATGCTAAAATGTTCACAAAAGATTTTAAAATGTGTGTTTTATATATTAGACTCCCTTGAGTACTACTAATTTCGGTTAATCTACGTTTTCTTGAAATTAAATCAATGATAGCGTCGGATAGTTCTTCCCTGTCAGCCTGTACTAAAACATTCATTTCAATATTCTCATTTGTTTTCTTTTAACCCATGATTAATCCAGGCTTATCGTGTGGAAGGTCTAGTTAACACCAGGAAGAGTTAACAGGGCGTGTACTTTGAGCTGCCTCTCCAATCCAAAGCTCCTCGACCAGGAGCCTACGATCATGCAGGCTAACTTTCCGAAGTGTAATCTTTGGAGTTCATTTGCTTTCAATTGTTAAGCCTGAATTTAAATCTTTGGTTAAAAAAAGAAAATTCAAGAAACCATATATGTAAAAACAAGCACAAAAATCACTTATCTGCAGCCTATTTAAGCCATCCTTGGAAGTCAGCCCTTGTTGTATGAAGCTTAAAATCTGTTTGTGATAGGCCGTAAAAACATGTATTTTAAGTTGTTTATAAAGACATTTCCTAATAAGGTATGGAACACACTGATTTGCTGAGTCGCTTTTCTTACTGCATAAAAAGAATGGTAAGCGAGCTGTTGGAAGAGTCCTGGCTGCACTGACGAAGCTGACAGGCAGCCACCTGTCCCTCTGGATCAGACGAAGCTGACAGGCAGCCACCTGTCCCTCTGGATCATCGACCACAAGCTCGAGCCTGACGTGCACCAGGATGCTTAGCTACTTTACTCGCAAAACCTTCTGATCACTGTACTCAAACCTTCCTTCAATATACCTTCATAATCACAATAAAAGCATATTCTAATATTCCACACCAAAATAAATGTATATATTTCACCATTACCATCCAAAATGTAAAACTGGCAGCTAATTCCAACTCCTTTTATGATATTCTTAAATCCTTCTATACGAATAAGCCTACTCACCTCTTAGCCACCGTCTGAAGGGCAGAGGCAGCCAGAGGGAACATTAAAAGTAACAATTATAGTAGTTACTGACAGCCTACTTCCTTACTCTGGGAATAGCCAGATAAAAAAGTTGACAAGCATATCTAAGCCAAACAACTCACCAAATAATGTTTTAATCCTTGCCATAGAATTATAGAAGCTACTTGCCAAGTTTATGCTAAAAATGAGCACAATGTGAAAAACAGGCTTTACTATTTCCCATCCCTCTAGGTGGATGGATCAGAGAATCCTTCGATTAAACCCAGATCTTTCTCAAGGAAAGGCACTACAGAAATGCGGTTTTGTCTAACAGTGACCCGTCCGTACATATAGCATAGCATGTTTAGTGACACGAAATACCAGTGTATTTAAAATACCAGATAATTACGATCTTTACTCTGAGAAAAGAAGGTATAAAGTTCTGCCTATGAAGTAATTTTTAAAAACCCATATTTTCCTGGTTATTGTTTAAAAGAAAAAAAAAAGCTCACTTATAAATTGTGAATATACAGAAAACAGACGCCAAACCATAGCCAGGAGTGACAGAGAAGCCACCGGGAGGAAAGCCAGGAGGAGCTGGCGAGGAGACCCCACAGAGCAGGAGGGCACAGCAGCCAGGAGCCCGGTGCTGGAACTCAAAGGAAAGGATCTCAGGGAGAGAGGCTGGTCAGTAAGGAGGCCCAGTCAGGGGCTTTTTTCTTCTACCTTGTACCCGGGAACTGATTTGGACAGTACAGAACGTTTGGGACCATCTTTCCTTGGCGTAGCAGCTTTGTCTTTAGACTTGGGTCTTCCCTGCGGGGAGTCCTCCGGGCCGTGCGGATGCGGGGGGCTCTCGCCATCAGACGCGTTGCCAGAGGAGCTGTCCTGCAGCCAAAGACAAGGGCACAAGTGCTCAGGTGGAGAGAGGTGGGTCTGCATTCCAGAAATGATGGGAAATACTCAAAAAAAGGCTTAAAGTTTCCTTACAGGGTCGCTATGAGTTGGAATCGACTAGACAGCAATGGGTTTGGTTTTGGTTATCCTTTTTCAAAAAGAGTTGGTGATACAGCTCAATTTAATATTCCAGGGACGTGGTTAACAAAGATCAAAGGGAAAGGTAAGTGCTCTCACCGAAGCGCCTTTACTCTTGCGTTTCTCATCACCACGCCCGTCCTCAGCATCATCCGAGTCACCGTCACTGTCCAGGGCAGGAAGCTCGGGGTCCAGAGGGGGCTCGTACAGCGCCGTGTTCAACGGCAAATACCGCAGCTCATCAGGTGAGTACCTGTAGTGCGAGAGAATCGTCTTCAGGGACCCTGTGCTGTGGAACAGAAAGAAAGGGACTACCTGATCAGAGTGAGGAAGACAGCCTTAAACTTATCAATTAACCCCGAATACTTTGCTGAGAGTGAAGGGGACTTGAATTACTTACTAGTGAAGATCAAAGACCACAGCCTTCAGTATAGGCTACACCTCAACAAAAAGAAAACAAAAATCCTCACAACTAGACCAATAAGCAACGTTATGATAAACGGAGAAAAGACTGAAGTTGTTAGGATTTTGTTTTACTTGTATCCACAATCAACACCCATGGAAGCAGCAGTCAAGAAATCAAACGATGCACTGCACTGGGAAAATCTGCTGCAAAAGACCTCTTTAAGATGTTGAAAAGCAAAGATGTCACCTTGAAGACTAAGACAAGCCATGATATTTTCAACCACATGATATGCCTGCGAAAGCTGGAAAATGAAGAAGGAAGACCAAAGAAGAACTGATGCCTTTGAATTATGGTGTTGGTGAAGAATACTGAACGTACCATGGACTCCCTAAAGAACGAATAGATTTGTTTTGGAAGAAGTGCAGCCAGAATGCTCCTTAGAAGAAAGAATGGCGAGACTGTCTCACATCGTTTGGACATGTTATCAGGAGGGACTAGTCCCTGGAGAAGGACATCATGCTTGGTAAAGTAGACGGTCAGCAAAAAAGAGGAAGACCCTCAACAAGATGGACTGACACAGTGGCTGCAACAATGGGCTCAAATACAGCAACGATTGTGAGGATGGCGCAGGACCAGGCGGTGTTTCGTGCTGTTGTCCACGGGGTCGCTGAGTCGGAGCTGACTCGATGGCACCTGACAACAATAACTACGGCAACAACTTTTTAAAAATGGTTTGAGGTGGTGACTTCTCATTGGTGCTCAAGGGGAAGAAGTAACAAATGGGCCTGAGCATCTCTTTCCAAGACCAATAACATAAAATATACATACGCTTTTTGTTATCAAAAGACAGTGCCACTCCCCTTGACGTCCCATGCCAAACAGGAGAGGAAAAATAACATCAGCAGACGAGTAACACTGGCCAACACAGACAGTGCCCCAGAGCGTGGCCCCCCGCCCGGACGCGGGCCCGGACGGTGCCCCAGAGCGTGGCCCCCCGCCCGGACGCGGGCCCGGACGGTGCCCCAGAGAGTGGCCCTCTGCCCGGACGCGGGCCCGGACAGTGCCCAGATGTGGGCCGTGTGGCTCCCTGCATCCTGTGCTGGAGATGAGCATCCCCACGCAGGGATCACAGCAGTACCACCTCAGAGAACGATGTGAGGACGAAATGAACCAGTGCATGCAAACCACACCATGGCACTGCACACCACCCCAGTCAAGAAACTGAATGTTCAGGAACTAATCACTGGAGTCAATCTCTACTTGATCTAAAACCAGAGTCTACCAGCCCCTCCCACAGGTGGAGACCACACACGGCCAGGAGGTGGACCAACAAGCAGCATTGTCCCCACACTCTCAGGCCAAGAAGGCTCTCCTGACCCTCACTGAGCCAACCCTCGGAGCCTGGTCAGCCCTCAATGAGGCATCACATGGGACCACACAGCAAGGGGCCTGGTCAGCCCTCACTGAGGCGTCACACCACACGGCAAGGAGCCTGGTCGGCCCTCACTGAGGCGTCACCCTGTGCAGCAAGGGGCCTGGTCAGCCCTCACTGGGGCGTCACCCTATGCAGCAAGGAGC